GAACAAAACACAAACGCATAAGAGTGTATTAAAAAACACAATCAATGAGAATTGACATACACTAAATTACTAACTCACTAAGCATAGCTTTTATGATCATGTGCAGTATCTGTTTCTGGTCAACTTCAAAACCAAAAGCCAAGACAAAAGAAGCGTGCAAACAGTCGCAGTTCTAGATATTGTACAAAGATATGTGAGCACATTTGTTCGTAGCACACAAGGTATACCTACTAAACAGAATCCATCAACTGACAGAACGATGGGGAAAAAATTGATTGCTTCATGATGATTTTAGGCACTGTAGGCATACATGGTGTATGCAATAGAAAAGAAACTCTATAATAGGATCCTTTTGTATACCAGCTCGGAAATCTGTGACTCTTCTAGTAGATGCATTGTTTGAAGGCAATCTATATGCTCCTATAAGTAAGCATGGAATGCAAATATCCGATTTGTACACAACTCTTGGCGGCCTGTGGCCAAGAGAAGCCTGAGAACAACCACCGGATCCAGTAGCATATGTATCCAACGTAGAAGAATTATCAACACCTAAGCACAAGCAGCACAAGCTCGAAGTAGGTGTAACAAGTTGTGAAATAAATTTGAAAGAAAGAAATAAGTTCTTTCTGTTAAAATTAAGTGAAGTCAATCGGGTGTACATTGCTGAGACATCAGAAACATAAAAAAATCGTGTATAGTGCTATGTGTGTGCTGGTACAAGTTACTCAGCCTTGGGGCCATATATAGCTAGAAGTGACTGGGATTTTCAGTCTACGTGCTGCTTACAATACAAGGAATGCCAGGATGTGTCAGGATGTAGGCATATCCCATCAGCACCCTCTTGTCAGGAAAGCACCAATGTCGCTGAGTTGAACCAATATCATGGTTGTCAAGAAATGTCACAGCTTTTTGAGGATTCCACCCTGTCACAGTAAATAAGACCGGGTGTACTGAGAAGAGTTGGTTCAACAGATCTTTGATCATCTTACCATGGTATCGACATTTCCCTACGACAGAGGAGTAGCAACAAGAAAACCACAACCAACTTCACCAGTCCAGACAAAGAAAAACTCAACGAGAACACCTTTCGTCCAAATCGGCAGTATAATTGCAATAAACTGAACAAAGGCGGCTGGATCATCCCTGACGAACATTAATAAAAGGACATTTTGGGAACCATGCAGGATAAATAGACCCGACAGTCACAAGTATTCTAGCTGAGAACTGGAAGTAAAGATCTCTTGTGTGTATAATTTTCAGATATAGGTCCAATCGCGAAATCGGCTTCGACGTATTTAGAGGTCTGATACGAACATGTTGACTTCAGAGCGTTCTCAAGGCAAGGAAAGGCTGAAGTACTGACCAGAGGCACTTACACCCTAGACGCAGGTAACTAGAGAATAAATGTAGAATCAGAAATAAAACAGGAGTATGCATAGCTTAAACTACAGGTCCTTTATTCTGTCAAACACAAACAGTACACCACCAGAGCAAGGTAAAGGGCAAGATTGATAAGAAATAAAGAGACAAACACTGAGGATAAGAAAGAAGACTGATGATGGAGACTTCCCTCTTAATGCACAAACAATTAAATGCTTTTTGGTTTTTACGGCCGTCAAACTGCTAGTAGAGGTGGAGGTTGTCTAAATTGTTACCACTTTAGACGGGCATTCGTAAGTCATAGTTGGTGGTACTCAATGTAGAAGTAATGTGTTGAATAACTATCTGGAACAAAGAGGTCTTAGTGGTATTCCCGCAAGAGATTAAATTTCAACAGGTTTAGAAGGTTGTGTTTTACCTCTTCAACTTTCAGACCTGGTGTACTTCTAAGCTTAATCACATGAAAGCTGATTATTCTAGAGTTAGCTTAGAGAGTACGTGCTCACGCCACTCCAACTCTACAATGCACGCTTCAAATTATGCTGAATGCATTTTGTAAAAAAGAAGTACAGAAGCTGTCTAAGGCTGTATCACAACCTATGATTGATAGACGTCACATGATATGAGCTCAGAATGTAAACTCAGAATAAAAGCTGACCATGTGAAGCACATGGATTTTACCAAGCATGCACTACTGTTCCTTGTTAAAAAAGCATTAGATTAAGCATACTGAACAATAGTAACAATAACTGATATGCGAACGAAGTGTAAGAAAACACTTGCAACTCAATTTAGTGTATCGACTGTAGACAATTCTTCAAAATCGATTCTAATGTTATTGTTTCTAAGTATATAAGTTTATAAGTTTCCTGAGTTCATGTGCACAGATACAAGACGGTATGGACAACTGGAGATCACAACGAAGGGAAGTTGATATGGCTCTGCCTGCCAACCCACCAAGATTTGAACCCGCCACAAAATGGACACATTCACGGGAGAATCTTGAAATCGAGTAAGTAAAGAGATTGTAGTGGTACATATTGCTATGAAGGAAAAATGGATTTCACAGTTTGCTTGAATGTTTTGTTACTTCGTTATTCGGATAGTCAAGTAGATAGTATGAATCTCAAAGTGAAACTGTCATCTGAAAGCGTGAAATAACACTCAGTCAAAGCCTGCCGGTTACAATTCAGATGTCCTACTTCCTGCAAGTAATATGATCTCGGAATTAATCTGTTAGAATCTCAAATAGTTTCGAATCTTACACATCTATTCAGGAAATGCACTGCACCTTCTTATATGCCTACTGGACTGCTCGGGTAGAAGTATTCTGAGAATTAATCTATACCCCCAGTAATTCATATCCCAAAGACACTAACCGAGATACTCGTAAATTGCGTGCTTTCACGTACATCTACATGCTGCTATATAATCTGAGTCCTCTACCTGCAAACGACTTTTCGAGGACTGCGAGCAGTCCTCTTCGAGGAGAAAGACAGCAGCGAGCACATCGCTGTCCGGCAGAGCTTGATTTATGTAACTGATAGAAACTTAATCTAAGAATGTAGCAATCTACAATCCAAGAACAACGATGATTTCGTGGCCATAAACAATGTTGGGCGAGCAATTGTTTCGAATCGTGCAATATACTTATCACGGCAGCAACTGAAGTAAATGAATATGCGACTCACCTTGCTTTGGCGGGGCTGAAAATGCACTATGCATTTCTCCTCGCAGTGTAATCAGTTGAATGATCCAATGATCCTTCCAAAGCACATTACTCTTTGAAACGTCGATTTCCTCTTTCACGCCATCCACCTGAGTAATTTCAGGTTTTTTACGAGCAATTCTTCGTTTCTTGCTAATTTTCGTCGGTATAGCATCAACTTCACTTAATTCGACTTTCTCATTACCAGTATTGAATCCAACGGGGAGGCTCGCAGAAATGTTACTTGCTGGTGGAAAGTGCATTCCCGGGAGTGAATGCACGAAGGGTTGTGGAAAAATAAAACCTGGGTGTGGAAACTTTCCGAAAAATGGCGACATTGGAATGGTAGTACTACCCTGCGTATTGCTATCCGATCCCATAGCCGGACAGTTGGAACCTGATGCATTATTCGTGAAATCATACGGCGGAGTTCCCTGTGACTCCATCGCGTCGAGAAAATCTTGAGAAATCCTATCAAGTGGAAGTGCTCTTCGAAAAAACTTGTAAAAGGCGCGAATGTCCACGTGGAGTTGGAATTTCCATAAAAATCGGGTTTCCGGGCGGAAGTGCCTGGTACTCCGGAACGATAGTTTTTTTTGCCACCTAGGATTTTTCTAATTGCCGCTCCCTCTCGTGTGGTAAGGGGGGCAGCAGTCCTGCCAATGAGAGTCGAGTATTCTTTGCCGGTGCCGGTCGTGTGGTTTGGGCCTGAAGCGCAAGTCCAGATCTACATAATTTTGAACGCGGGAGTAGTTTTACCACGCTCATCTTGTGTCACTCTCCTAGGACTGTCCACTGGCACGAGAAGCGGGAAAACCCGCTGGTATGTAGGAGGATCAGGCACTTGGCGACACCTCACTGGACACACGATGGTGACTACAGAATCCACTAAGGACGGCACTCTGTGACAGGACCAGGAGAACCTGCTGGGTTCAGGATCAGAGTAAGGGCTATGGCCCAGCACAGTCGCAGGATTGACAGGCTACATCATACCTTCAACAACGTGAGTAAGGCAGTACCAGTATAGTCTGGAGCAGATGATCCACACTGGTCCCTCGGAAATCTATCTCGAGCAGACCAAAAATAGATTTGTAGCTTCTATTAGAGACGAGTGATTTTACGCCGGGTAGATCCTGCGTGTCAGAGCAAGAAGAACGAAGGAAAGCATGGTTCGATCTTCCTATTCTCGTTCACTTGTTCTTCAAGACATAAGTCAAATTCGAAATATTAATAATCAAATTTGCAGATTTAACAGTTATAGAAAGTCATTTACAATAGTAATCAGCAAATAACTGAAAGTCAGTCTGCATGCATTTGTGGAATTGCATGAGAAGAGAACTGTAATTACTGTTCTATAGCTACTTTTCTTATATTCTAAAAAATTGGTTTCCACAAACTTCGGCCTCAGTGTCCTGGTGCATATAGCTCGGGTGTCAGGAAAAGGATATTGATAAACTGGTCAAACTCGATTGTTGAAATCCGTTCCGAAGAGCTAGCACTTTCGGTGACTGAAAAGTCAAAATTCAAATACAATTCTTTTCTTTTCGGAGGGATCTAACCACGGAAAGAGTGGAGAAACAGCTACAATGCCAGGGATGGGCGGTAAAAAATCATCGTGTATGAAGGAATTCGATAGCAGATCGAATAAAACGAACCGATGCACAGTTTTGTGAGCAATTTTCGTGTTCCCATTTCCCTTGCGACGTTGACGTCCCAGGGTTCAGGTCGTGCTGACATTTGACTCGTTTGAGACGGTGTCACGGAATTTGCGTCGTTCTCTTCCTGCACCCCATTAGCTATAGTAAAACTTCACCACATCCATCTGCGCATGATGGAGGGTGAGGTCGTCATTGTCCAGATTCGAAATAAGAGGGATCGTCATCCGAGGCTGGAAGCACAGCCTGGCTTTTTCTTCCCTCCCTTCTCCTCCTTGTTTTGTAGCCTGTCAGTCATTCCTAGATCGCACTTTTCACTTTCTCGAAGTCGGAGCTAGAGAGAAATCTCGAAGAATCTGCTAATGATTGCTTCTGAAGGCCTGCAGTTCAGTTATATCCATCTGTAGGCCGCGTCTGAAACGTCTCAGACGTCTGAAAGCACATCGCTGGAGATCTGGTTTGGTCTTCATCGTCAAGCTGATTTGCGTTGTCCTCAGGTCGTCAGCTGAATTGGTCCACATATCTTGAGCTTTGTGTTTGCTGCCGCGTTCTCATCCTCGTCGAGTATGGCGTCGAGCAAGTTTGTGGACCAAGTCGATGTTCTCGGCGACATCGTGAGGTCTTGGACACCTGAAAATCGAGAGGATGTGGAAGCGAAGCTTTTGGCAGAGTTGGAGGTCGAGACAATGGTGGTGTTGCACGGATCTGCCGACAGAGAGACCGGAGACGATGACGACGGAGTTGCGGCCTTAGGAAGGGTGTTGCAGCAGCGCAGTTTCCCTCGAGTCAAAACTCTGGGCCTCGTTTACTGCCGGCTGAAACAAGAGCAATCCGTGGCCGAGATCGCCACGGCGATCGGGGCAGGAAATCTACCGAATTTGGAAACTTTGAACTTCGGAAGCAATTCCAAGATAGGCGATGCAGGTGCCAAGCTCCTGGCCGAGGCTCTGGGGTCGGCCAAGCTCCCCGGTCTGCACCGCCTGCATCTGATCGACAGCGGTGTCGGAGACGAGGGTTTGACAGCCTTGGCCAATGCCCTGGGCACGGGCAATACTCCCTCGCTGACGAGATTGCACGTGGGCAGCGAGAACGAGGTGTTCCACAGCTCCGGAGCCAGCACTTTGGCGCAAGTCTTCGGATCCGGGCACCTTCCAGCTCTGGAGGATCTGAGCCTGCAAGGCTTGGTCGACGAGGAAGGAGTGGTGGCTCTTCTGAAGGCTCTGGAATTGGGCAAGGTGGGAGAGTTCAAGAACTTGGACTTGAGCAATTGCAAGTTCGGGCTGGAGGGAGCCAAGGCTCTTGCCGACGTGCTGCAAACACCGCAATTCTCCACCCTGCGGCTGCTGGATCTCCAAGGGAACCCGGCCATCGACGATGCAGCGATTCTGGCTCTGTCCGCAGCGTTCAAGTCCAACAACCTGAGCAATCTCCGCTGCCTGGGCCTGAAGAAGGTGTCGATGAGCGGGGCGGGGCTGCTGGAGCTGGCCTCCGTGCTGGAATCGGGCCACCTGCCCGGCCTCATGGAGCTGTTCGCCGACGGTGCCGAGAACACGCCGGCCAGCGCCGAAGCCCTGGTCAGGGCGTACGAGAAGAACACAGCTCTGGTTGCTCTGATCACCATCGACTGGCCTACGACCCCCGAGGTGACGGCCGAGGACTGGCCCAGCGCCACTCTGCAGGGCAACGCCGACTTCTTCAAGAGGAGGAACAAGGACCGACAGATCGCCATGTCCAGGCAGTTCCGAGGCACGGTGGACAGTGAGGCGTCCGAGGAGAATGCCCAAGACGCCAAGGATGTCGAGACTCTGCCCGAGAAGAAGGAGACCTCGGAGTTGAAGCCTTGGAAGCGCGGCCTCTCGTTCGCCAGGCGGGATGTCCCCGTGGAAATCAAAGTCTGCAGTTAAATCTCGCTAGATTTAAAGTATCGATCATTCATCATCCATTCATTCATTCAGTCAGTTCGGTCGCAATCTTTCAAAAATGTGCCAGGCATTAAATTTATGGGCAATGTCAGTGTACTCAAGCATCGACGAGGTCCTGACTGACACTCGATCGATCTTCTGAGTTTAGGATGGAATTGGGTGTCAGCAGGAACAAATTTCCCACATACTATGTATCGTACCTAGAAATATTAACTTCAGGACAGCACCGCCAAACACAAGCATGCTGGTTGATTCTTCGGTGCACCGGTATATGTAAATAAATCCTTACATTTGAAGTTTTGGCGTCTAGATCCAACATCAGTCTCTGGTGATTGAATACTTTCCATCATTCCTCTTCGCAGTGAGTCGATCCACAATATGGACTTTGGATATGAACACACTGCCTGGCCGTTCTATGCACTGATGGAAATTCGAACGCCAAGAGGCAAACAAAATTCTATCTACAGGTTGTCCATCGGCTATTTCAGAACAAGCCACATTGATCTTGTAATCATTCTCAGTCTGAGCACTGTAAAAAGCAGTCGTAGATCTCTGCGGTTTTACATGCAGACAGTAGTCATTCGAAAGCGAATTGTGTCATCTGTGCATTGTTATACTCTTTGTTAGTTTTCAAATGGATTTGAAGCTGCATGAAACCTCATGAAATCCAGCTAAATCTGGCTAGAATGATAAACCAGCAAAATGAGTTCAAGAAAATTTAGAACTGACAGAAATTAATGCCTGTTATGGTTAACCGAGTTTATGCTCATATTGTGCCGTGTTTACAACAAATACACCATACCTATTTCATTCCAACAATGGAACATGAGTTGCTTTTTCAGGACTTAAAGTCAAACTTTATGGAATAAAGTTTTGGGTGAAAAAAATTCACATTTTATTTCTTTTTTATTAAAATTATATAATATAGTAGAATTATTAGGGGGGTGCTAGTTATCACTCACTTAGGGTTAATTAATTCTCACTCTAATATAGATGATTCTTTAATTGGTTGACCGCGGTACACCCTACCCTGATTGTTACTCATTCCCAATTGTGGGTAATTAGGTCCTACCACTTACTAACCCATCTATTAGATTTATTTTAGACCAATTCCGAATTGAATTAATTACAGATTCTCAAATCTAAACGAATATTCTCTAACTATAATTTTTTCCAAGATCAGCCCTGGAGAATTGTACTTTCCCTCTATCATACAAGTGTTCTATATACTTTTGGATCTAATATTTTGGTCTAAATTCCGTTTTTCAATCTAACAATCGTACACCCTACCCTAATTGTTACTCCTAGCATACACCAATCAGAGAAGAGTTTGGAATAGAGTGAGTACTGATTAGTCTTAAGTGAAGGATGATTAGCCTTTCTCAATTTTTATCATATAAATACTATGAAATTAATAAAGATGAAATCAAAATATAATAATTTGTTGAAATAAAACTGGAGATCACAGTGACCAATCTAACAAAACGAGATACAAATGTATAAAGTGGTTTTTTTTTAAGACTTCGGTCTTGAATCAAAATTTGAGAGAAACTTTACTATTGAGATGAAAACACAATAATATTTATTACGTAAATATATCAAATTATTTATATATTCAACGTAGTCGACAAATGTCAACTATAAGTAATTGAACATGAAATTATTTTTTAAGCGGAATTAAAGTCAACGTGATTAAATTAATAATTAAATATTTTTAATTAAAAATACTTATTTTTTTATGAAATTTAATATGGAAAGTAATAAATAAATGTCTCTATTTTTTATTTTTCTTAAATCAAAAAATATAAAATTTTGTCAACAATTCAAATCATAATATCAAAAATCAAGAAGTAAATGTACATTTGAATATGAATAAAAAGTTGAACATTTTCATCAATCAAAATGAAGATCAATGAAATCAATGAAAATCTCCAAATGCATCGAATTATAAATTTCACAACTACTAATTTGATAACAATAATGATACTTTTTGTGCCATTATAAAAATAAATAATTCTAAGATAAAATTCTTTTGCATTTTTTTCTGAAAAACACTATGAAAAAATAGTTTGTATTTTAAAATGTTTGTTCGGTAATTTCCCAGAACTAAATAGTTTCCACATCTCTGTACTATTTCATCTTAGAAAAAATTTGTATAAAGTGAACTTCAGATATCAATTACAGAAAAAATATCCGCTTTTTTCATTAAAAAGTTAAGTCAGAAGTTTTCCATGATGCTTTTGAACAAATAGTGAAACATCTGTTGTTCAAAGGTTATATCTTAATTAAAAATCAAGTAAAATTTTCCTTATGATTAGAAAATAATACAAAAATCTGCACGTACCATGATTTGTTACAGATTGGATTTATTGAATCAATTATTTAAGATGATTAGATTAACTGAAGGATTGAATGAATAAGCTTCACTTTTTAAATTTGCAATATGTTCTTAGTGTGCATAAGTACTTCTTGCAAATCCTTAATAATTAAACAATGTTCAATCTTGCATACTCTAAAATATATGTTGTTAATCACGATTCGTGTTTTTTCTCAGCAGAATTTCTTGGGGGATTGAATTTTTTTTGGACTGACATCAATCTTCGGACTGAAGATCTCCGTGTGTCGGTTTTTAGTGTTTATTATCTATCAAGAAGTAAAGCAATGCATGAAAGAGTCGACACACAGATATTGAGTCCCGGAGAGAAGATCTTAGTTTATGGGGAGTGAGCCCGGATGGGGGATACATACCCAATCGTGACATTGGCCATCCGAGAGATCCGAGGCTGGTCGTGACTAAGTGTCACGACTATTGACTATAGTACAAAGTACACATGTTAAAGAACCTGAGTATACGGAGGATCAAGAAGTGGGTAGTAGTACGACTTCTAACACTCACACTTATTACCTACTTACTTCGCTCATCCACATTTCCAACTAATGAACCTAAATTTTGATTATGATAGCATTGCTTTTCTCCAGCTAATAATTTTGTCATAATATCAACAATCATCTCTTCAGTTGGAACATGAACTAACTTCATCAAATTATTGGTGAATAGATTTTCGACAAAATGATATCTAATGTCAATATGCTCAAAACTCTCGTGATTTTTGTGGTTCTCTATCTGCGAGATTGCACTTTGGTTGTCACAAAAAATAGTGATCGACTCGAGCTCAAAACCTAGATCAGTAAATAATTCTCTTAACCACATAGCTTCAGCTCCAGCCTTGGACAAAGCCATGTACTTTGCTTCTGTAGAAGAAAGCGCTATTGACTTTTGTCCCTTTGATGTCCAACTAGTGGTTCCGCCATTAAGTTGGAAACAATAACCAGACGTCGATCGTCTTGTGTCAAGGCAACCACCCTAGTCCGCATCGGAATATCCAGTTAAACCGGATGGTTTGTCAACCGTCGTGAACACAAGGGCCAAAGTCGAGAGTTCCTTTCAGATATCTGAAAATACTTTTGACTGGCTTCCAGGATTTGACATGAACTGAGCCATAAAACTGACAACAAAAGATATATTGGAGCCCACATCAAGCTCCCAACCTCAACTTGCTATGGAATATTTTTTGCCTCTTCGCTTTCTCCCACTGAATTGGGAAAGTCAAGCACACTTAACTTTAAACCGGGTTCCATAGGTGTATCAAAAGGCTTACAGTCAGCCATGTTAAACCTCGCAATCTTTTCAAACAATTATCATGGTTGGGAGATCCGAATCCACCCTTCTTCAATTCTGCAAGGCCTCTTCATAAGAAGTAGGTTCTTGGTGAGTCTCTCCATACGAAAATAAACCTCGATGCTTCTTCCTCTTCTTCAAAAGTTGATCATATCTTTGACACGTTTCCTTACTCTTTCCCCCCTTCGAAAGAGAGGATCGATGGAGCGGAAAGACGATGAAGCAGCCCCGTATCTGCAGGCGGGACTTCAGATGCGGTGTCGTGAATTCGGAGTTCTTCCAGTAAGTCTTCAAGGTTGCACACTCTATCATCAAGAGGAGCTGAAGAGAGAAAATTCTCCCGTAGCCTCCTTGTGAGCCTCTGATAAGTTTGGCCAAAACGGGCTGGATAAGTTGCAGGGACTTCAGCAGTGGGAGGATGACTTACGGAGGAAGTGGAAGTTCCCTGTGGAACTCCCACTGCATGTGATGGTGTCAATGGACTGAATTCTCCTACCGCTGGTGGCCGTCCTGCTGGTGGCTGTTTCTGCTGGTAACCTCCTGCGAACTGGATCAGTCGACGGAGCTAATGGAACAGGGCGAAAGGGAGTAAAAGCTTCTTGCTCAGCAGGCGGAACAACTGATGCTTGCTGATGGTGAGAGGTAGCTTCTCGAACTGCAAGAGGCATAAATCTGACAGATCTGCTTTCAAGAATCTTGTGAGAGTCCTTTAGCTGTACGCGATATCCTTTGGCTGTAGTAGAATAGCCAAGGAAAACAGCTCCAACACTCTTGGGGTCAATCTTACCCCGATGGCCTTTATCAATATGAGCAAAGGCAGTACATCTGAAAACTTGTAGGTTCCGCAGATCCGTCTTCTGCCCATGCCAAAGTTCGAAAAGACTAATGGGTTTTGTCGTTGGGTAGAGCCTTTGATCGATTCTGTTGTCGCTATGTTGACACATTCTGGTCTTTCTCATAGCTATTGGGGTGAAGCCATCCATACTGCGTTTACTTTTAGAATAGATCTCCATCGAAGGCTCTACCCAACGACAAAACCCCTAACTCTTTTCTCTGATACCGTATCAGGAAGTAAAGCAATGCATGAAAGAGTCGAGACACAGGTACTGAGTCCTGGAGAGAAGATTTTAGTTTATGGGGTTCACTTCCCATAAACCAAGATGGGGATATGAACCCAATCGTGACAGTGGCCATCCGAGAGATACAGAAACCCTAATGGACAGAGGCGGGTCGTGACTAAGTGTCACGACCACTGACTATAGTACAAAGTACACATGTTAAAGAACGTGAGTGTACGGAGGATCAAGAAGTGGGAAGTAATACGACTTCTAACATTATCTTGGGAAGTAATACGACTTCTAACATTATCTAAATATCCTCATATTCTGTTGCTGCAAATAAATGAGATGAATTCACTTTAAATAACTTACATCATTCAATATTGATTCAATTTTTGATTGCAAAAAAAATTCTCTTCGAGCTATTGCTCGTTTGATATGGTTGATCACATTTTAACAGCATCTTTGACCTTATTTGGAAAAAGTCTATACCATTGAATTCGCATGTCTGAAATCGTTGGTTTTGTAATAAATTTACACTGTAGTTCAGAAATAATTTCTTGGCTCT